CTCAGTTACCTCTGCTCTCAGTTACCTCTGCTCACAGTTACCTCTGCTCTCAGTTACCTCTGATCAAAGTTACCTCTGATCAAAGTTACCTCTGCTCACAGTTACTTCTGCTCACAGTTACTTCTGCTCACAGTTACCTCTGCTCTCAGTTACTTCTGCTCTCAGTTACCTCTGCTCTCAGTTACTTCTGCTCACAGTTACCTCTGCTCTCAGTTACCTCTGCTCTCAGTTACCTCTGATCAAAGTTACCTCTGCTCACAGTTACCTCTGCTCACAGTTACCTCTGATCAAAGTTACCTCTGATCAAAGTTACCTCTGCTCACAGTTACCTCTGCTCACAGTTACCTCTGCTGACAGTTACCTCTGCCCACAGTTACTTCTGCTCACAGTTACCTCTGATCAAAGTTACCTCTGCTCACAGTTACTTCTGCTCTCAGTTACTTCTGCTCACAGTTACTGCTGCTCTCAGTTACCTCTGCTCTCAGTTACCTCTGCTCTCAGTTACTTCTGCTCACAGTTACCTCTGCTCTCAGTTACCTCTGATCAAAGTTACCTCTGCTCACAGTTACTTCTGCTCACAGTTACTTCTGCTCACAGTTACCTCTGCTCTCAGTTACTTCTGCTCACAGTTACCTCTGCTCTCAGTTACCTCTGATCAAAGTTACCTCTGATCAAAGTTACCTCTGCTCACAGTTACTTCTGCTCACAGTTACTTCTGCTCACAGTTACCTCTGCTCTCAGTTACTTCTGCTCACAGTTACCTCTGCTCTCAGTTACCTCTGATCAAAGTTACCTCTGATCAAAGTTACCTCTGCTGACAGTTACCTCTGCCCACAGTTACTTCTGCTCTCAGTTACCTCTGCTCACAGTTACTTCTGCTCACAGTTACTTCTGCTCACAGTTACCTCTGCTCACAGTTACCTCTGATCAAAGTTACCTCTGCTCTCAGTTACCTCTGCTCTCAGTTACCTCTGCTCACAGTTACCTCTGCTCACAGTTACTTCTGCTGACAGTTACTTCTGCTCACAGTTACCTCTGCTGACAGTTACCTCTGCCCACAGTTACTTCTGCTCACAGTTACCTCTGCTCACAGTTACCTCTGCTCACAGTTACTTCTGCTCTCAGTTACTTCTGCTCACAGTTACTGCTGCTCTCAGTTACCTCTGCTCTCAGTTACCTCTGCTCACAGTTACTTCTGCTCACAGTTACTTCTGCTCACAGTTACCTCTGCTCTCAGTTACTTCTGCTCACAGTTACCTCTGCTCTCAGTTACCTCTGATCAAAGTTACCTCTGATCACAGTTACCTCTGCTGACAGTTACCTCTGCTCACAGTTACTTCTGCTCTCAGTTACCTCTGCTCTCAGTTACTTCTGCTCACAGTTACCTCTGCTCTCAGTTACCTCTGATCAAAGTTACCTCTGATCAAAGTTACCTCTGCTCACAGTTACCTCTGCTCTCAGTTACTTCTGCTCACAGTTACCTCTGCTCTCAGTTACCTCTGCTCACAGTTACCTCTGCTCACAGTTACCTCTGCTCTCAGTTACCTCTGATCAAAGTTACCTCTGCTCTCAGTTACTTCTGATCTCAGTTACCTCTGCTCTCAGTTACTTCTGCTCACAGTTACCTCTGCTCACAGTTACTTCTGCTGACAGTTACTTCTGCTCACAGTTACCTCTGCTCACAGTTACTTCTGCTGACAGTTACCTCTGCTCACAGTTACTTCTGCTCTCAGTTACCTCTGCTCACAGTTACTTCTGCTCACAGTTACCTCTGCTCACAGTTACTTCTGCTCACAGTTACCTCTGCTGACAGTTACCTCTGCCCACAGTTACTTCTGCTCACAGTTACCTCTGCTCACAGTTACCTGTGGTGATGCAAGCAGAATGCTGAGGGTCCAAGCCAGTAGCAACATGCGTCGGTTCCTGCTGTGCGCACTCAGAGCATCCAGTGGGTGCAGAATCGCATGCTGGCGATCTAGGCTGATGACAACAAGGATGAAGGCAGAGGCGTGCATGGCGAACAGCTTCAGGAAGCAGAGCAGCTTGCAGAGCGCATCACCACCATACCACTGCACTGTCATGTTCCACACTGCATCCAGAGGCATCACCACAAATGTCATCATCAGGTCGGCTGATGCCAGGCTCAGCATTAATGGGCGCAGGTGAGATGCCAAACGCTGCCCTCGCCACACACTGACCAATAGGGCAAGATTACTGCAGGCAGCAAACAAGAAGAGGACAAAGGTGGCTCCAACTCGGAACTGAGCAGCCCGGGTGAAGCTGGGAGCCTCCCAGTCTGGTAGAGGAGGGTACTGGGAGGTGTTGTGAAGGGTAGTGGCTGTAGAACTGGTGGGGGGTAAAGACAACCTCAGGATGGACCAGTTACCTGCCATCCTGTACAGAAGAAGAAAAATGAAAATGAAGTTTTAGAATCACAATCACATTCTTAAAAATTACTAACTGCTTTCAGTTAGTAAGTTTTAGGAGGTAGGGTTAACTTAGCACAAACACTAGCAGCAGGTACAAACTGTTAGCTTACCTTAGCACAAGCTATAAAAGCAATCTGAAACTGTTAGCTTAGCAAAAACCTTCTTATAACCATTTTCTTTTAGTCATTAAGCAGCGTATTCATTGGACGCTGAGCATTCATAGCAGGTACATTTGTGTACCTGTGCCCTCAGGGTTGTCTGACAGTTAAAATGTTTTCCTGGGGTCACACTAGTATGTTCTCCTTCATGTTATCGTTTGGGATGTTCTTCTTCTTCTGTATCTTATAACCAGTGGACCTTCTCTGCATTGTGATGCGAGGCTTCTGGGGGTCACTGAACCTCAGTTTGCAGAGACACAGAGACTTGGTGTACAGGTGTTTTATTTAGGTTTAATCTGTTCCTAAGTCACAGAAGATGATTCACTTGCTGACCTTTGATTGGATATTGCAGATCACCTGTCTGTTTCTCTCTTTGTCTACCAACCTGTAGTCCAACAGCTCTTATTGTGTAATAGACTTCCTATCTGTCACAGATAAGAATCTCCCTAAAGGCTGAGGAGAAGGGGATGGGGTTACCATGGTAACTGGGGAGTCAGTTGACTCAGGTTCACCTGTTAAAGATAAAAATAGCTCCAGCAGGAAGCCCAAGGCCTTTAAGTGTTGGTGCATTAAAAAGAACCAATCAGCGATCAATAATGCAGATGATAAATCCCAGACAATAGGGAATGTTTTCAACTGATTGGTGGAATGAACCTTCAGGCTTCTGATGGAGAAGCAGCTGAAATCTGTCTGGGCTGCTGTCAGCAGATGATGCTCACAGGTAGATGGAGGCGAATGTGCTCTCTGAGTGGATGCAGTCTAATGGTAAATATGACCATATGAAAACTGTCTCTAAGAGAAACACATCTGGTCCTTCACATGTGTTTCAGCACCACGAGTGTCCCATTTCCCCTCGTTGTTCACGGTGTGACGTCTGCTGCCCGTCACTACTGTCACCGTCACACACACACATCAGATGTTGCTATCCTAGTGGGGATATTCCATTGACACAATGCTTTCCCTAGCTGCTTATCCTAACCGTAAACCTAACCATAAAAATGGTAAATGGCCTGTATGGTGCTTTACACATTCAGTCATCCACCCATTCACACACTGGTGACGGCAAGCTACACAGCCACCCTGGGGCGCACAACCATAACCCAATTGTAACCCTGACACTAAAACCACATTTTGAGTGTGAAAAATGCCTTTAACTTGTGGGGACCTGGATTTTGGTCCCCCTGAGATAGGAAAACACACACACACACACAGGTCAGGTTACAGCTCAGAGGTCTGCAGCTAATTTTGGCTCCAGGATCAGTGTATGTGTGTGTTTGTGGGTGTTCATTATATTACCTTGGCAACCTTCACCTCTGTCACTGCAGAGGTTCAGACTCCGCCTCCTACGTCTGACTGGCTGAGCTCCTTGGCCAGCGTGTTTGTGTCTGATGCTAGAGAGGCAGAGCCTTCACCAATCAGAGGGCTGGGTGGGAAATATCAGTGTGTTGAACAATGAACGAGAGTGTGTGTGTGTGTGTGTGCGCGCACGTGTATGTGTGAGTGAATACAACCTGTTAACTAAACCAAGTCTCCATAAACATGTGATTCAGAGCACCTGACCTTCAGCACTGACCAGTCGCCTGAAGGTCCTTAGTATTGTAAAGAGTACAGTGAGGTGAGATGACGCCTATGCACACACACTATGGTGACAGTCCTGTACAGCTCGAGCTGCTCACTCAGTCCAGACGATGGAGGTGAACAATCACCAACAACCTGCACCGCCGTGTGCCACGCCAGGGGCGACAATGGTGAACTAGAGCACAAACTTCCTGTTAAAGTTCTTCTTCTACGCCATCAAACCCAGCCCCTCTTACTTCACCTCCGTTTTGAATATGCAAATTAGTCCCAGCTTCTAACTCTCGCCACACATCCACCTTTTACCTGCAGCTCAAGCTGACCTGCTCAAAGAAAAAGAAGGGTGTCTCCTCTCTGCAGTGTTAGAAATAAAACAGGAAATAACAAGATGACATCATCAAACAGCTGTTCTGGGCTCATTGCTGTCAGATGATCCTTCAACATGTTAGCCCCACCCCTCAGGATGATGTGATCAGGTTGAGTTTGATCAGAGAGCTAAGCAACAGACCAAGCTCAGTTCACAATCACATCAAAGCACCTTCACTGAGGCTTTTATTGTGAAAGGGTTTGTTTCTACCTGCTCAGCAGCTATGGATCGTTTCTCTGCCTCAGGTCGGACTCCTCTGTTCTCCTCCTCTCCTCCTCATGTTCTTCCTGCACTCCAGCACAGCAGAACCCAGAAGAACCCAGAGAACCGCCTCTGATCCTGATCCTCAGCTGCAGCAATGAAGAGAACCACTGAGACTCAGACAGGCTGCAGTGAGGAGGAGGAGGGGGAGGAGCTACAGCACTGTGTGTGTGTGTGTGCTTCCTGCTGAGTCAAAAATCACTGTTTCAATAGTTTCATCACTAATAATTTAATTACAATTAAATAATAAATGTTTTACACAGAAAAACAGTCCAAAGAATTCTGTCTGGAGACAGACGGCTGGTTGTGTGTTTTTATTTCTTTTTAGGTTTTCTGTTGTCAGAGTCTCGGGTCAGAGTGAGCAGCACAATGTGATGGCTCAGCTCTGATTCTCGGTCTGAGCCACGGCAACGCTGCAGCATTAGCTGACTGAAGCTCTAAGGACTTCAGTGACGCTGACAGGTCCTCTCCGATTACCGACTGTCCAATCAGGAGAGCTTACATCAGCAAACAAAACTGAGACCTCCAACTGGACACAAGGGAGGACTGCTCTCTGATGTCACCTGGGCTGCTGGGCGGGGCCTCACTGTCCTGAGCCAGTGAAGCATTGCTGGAAAAAAAAGGTTTATTTATTGACTTTTAAAAAATTGATTAATAAAGTTTGATTAATGGATGTGTCACCTGTCAGTGCGAGGGTTCCCTCTGTCCAACCACAACTCACCTGGAAACACACAGGTACGTTATCAGTTCCACTTCCTGTCGCATTTAAAGCAAAGCACACCTGTTTGACGAGGTGATCGCCCAATTAGGTTTCAGTTCAATTCAGCTTCATTCATATCAGTAGTTGCCCCAAACACCTACAATAATACAGAGAAACCGCAACAGCCCCTGTGAGCAAGCACTTTGGTGACAGGGGGAAGGAAAAAACCCCTTATAACAGGAAGAAACCTTCAGCAGAGCCAGGCCGGTTCAGGATTTAATGAATCAATATTGCATTATTCAAATTAAAATAAATTTTTTAAAGCCAGCCCTGTTTGACCGACAGCACTGTGAGGAAGCCGGCGCCATCCTCAGCAGCTCACTCACACAGAACTCCCGCCTGCATCGGTCTGCCTGCTCTCTCTGATCCAATCAGCAGGAGGCTTTCAGACTCTGCTGCTGTTTGCTCACGGAGACGCCCGGAGGTCCCCGAACGGGAAGCGCAGCTCCAGATTTAGATCGCTGCAGGTGGAATAATAACCTCACGTAGACCTCACTGCAGCTGTGCACATGCTTTCACATATAAATATATTCATGGGTACAAAGTGAATAATTCATCAGGCTCCTTATTATTCACGGTGACTGTGAAGCTTTAAATAGCTTCTCTTCGTCCTCACACAGCTTCAGCTCTGAAGTGACTCCGGCAGTGACAGCCTGCCTCCCTCTTCCTGTGGTGTTCAGGTGCAGACAGACATCAGACAACATGTTTGTGCACACCTTTATAAATCTGACTCAAGGCAACAGGTGCACCCCAGCTCTTCATCAACCTCAATTTCAATTCAAATCACAGCGGTCACCTCAAGATGCTTTGTATTGTAAGGTGTAGCCTACAATAACACAGAGTAACACCCAGCAATCATATGATCCCCCTATGAGCAGCACTTTGGCAACAGTGGGAAGGAAAAACTCCCTTTTAACAGGAAGAAACCTCCGGCTGAACCAGGCTCAGGGAAGGTGGGGGTGAGAGGAGGAAGACGACACAAAGACACGCCGTGGAAGAGAGCTAAATGATTCAGTGCAGAGTGGTCAATAAACACATAGTGAGTGAAGAAGAAACACCCAGTGCATCATGGGAATCCCCGGCAGCCTACGTCTATTGCAGCGTCACTAAGGGAGGGTTCAGGGTCACCTGGTCCAGCCCTAACTATATGCTTTAGCAAAAAGGAAAGTTTGAAGCCTGATCTTGAAAGTAGAGATAGTGTCTGTCTCCTGAATCCAAACTGGAAGCTGGTTCCACAGAAGAGGGGCCTGAAAACTGAAGGCTCTGCCTCCCATTCTACTTTTAAATACTCTAGGAACAACAAGTAGGCCTGCAGAGCGAGAGCGAAGTGCTCTAATGGGGTGATAGTGTCCACATGTCCCACAGGTGTTCCTCAGGTGTGCTGTGATGTGTATGAGGTGGTGGAGACTCACTGCGCTGCCGCTTGTTTAACTGGTCTGAGCTGGAAACAGAAATACAAACATTGAGGTTTGTTCAGAGGAAACAGGAGCCCACCTGAGGTCCAGATTTGGGCTGTGTTGGTCTTACCTCTGTCCAGGTGCTATGCTCATGTATTCAGGTGTTTCAGAGGCCTCCTGCTGAGATCCTGTTCACACACACACCCAACGTGAATCACACAAACTATGAAGTCCTACACAAGCCTGTTTCTAGCTGGAACAGGTGAGACTCACCTGGGGCATCAGTCTCTGGAGCATCTGGTTGCTGATTTGCTGCTGTGCCCGGGCTCTTTGTGATGTCACTCTTCCTGTGAGGACAAAGCTGATCAGTGACCTGTCTGACCTTTTGTGTAGCGTGTAACAATGGGACTTACCTGACATGAGGTCCAATAGGTAGGCTGTGTCGATGTGGCCAGAGGCTGTGTGGTGCCGGTGGGTGGGGCTTCTGAGTCATTTAAACAGGAGGACATATTATACTGCTGTCAGGACAATATTCACCTGTCTGATGGTTTGATATTGTTTGATATCACCTGTGCTCATTCACAGGTGTGGGCAGGTGGTACTATGTCATGTGACATTCTTATATTTATTGAATCCTGCCTCTCTTATTGATTTCTTTGAACTAACGACAGAACTCTCATCCTCCAAACCATCACCATGTCCATTCCTACAAAACTGCTCAAAGAAGTCCTGCCATTAATTAATGCTTCGATCTTAAATATGATCAACCTGTCTCTAATGATCGGCTATGTACCACAGGCCTTCAAGCTGGCTGTAGTTAAACCTTTACTCAAAAAGCATCTCTAGACCCAGCAGTCTTAGCTAATTAAAGGCCAATCTCCAACCTTCCTTTATATCAAACATCCTTGAAAGAGTAGTTGTCAAACAGCTAACAGATCATCTGCAGAGGTTTATTTGAAGAGTTTCAGTCAGGTTTCAGAGCTCATCACAGCACAGAAACAGCTTTAGTGAAGGTTGCAAATGATCTTCTTATGGCCTCTGACAGTGGACTCATCTCTGTGCTTGTCCTGCTAGACCTCAGTGCAGCGTTCGATACCATCGACCATAATATCCTATTAGAGCGATTAGAACATGCTGTAGGTATTACAGGTACTGCACTGCAGTGGTTTGTATCATATCTATCTAATAGACTCCAGTTTGTGCATGTAAATGGAGAGTCCTCTTCACACACTGAGGTTAATTATGGAGTTCCACAAGGTTCAGTGCTAGGACCAATTCTGTTTACATTATACATGCTTCCCTTAGGCAGCATCATTAGAAGACATAGCATACATTTACACTGCTGTGCAGATGTAAGTAGCTTGGAAAGAAAAGCGTCTGGACTTCTTTAAGTTGCTTGAAGACGTTTCACCTCTCATCCGAGAAGCTTCTTCAGTTCTAAGGTCAAATGGTGGAGAGTCCCAGATTTAAACCCGGTGGGAGTTTCCCCCCACAGAGGGACAAAAGGACCCCTGATGATCCTCTAATCACATGAGACAAGGTGTGAAACTGGGTGTGGGTCCCAATCAGCCAGGGTTTCGGGTGAGTTCATTGTGAAACCTGGCCCCACCTTATCATGTGATTTCCTGAGGTCAGATGGCCCAGGATGTGAGTGGGCGTTAAGGCGTCTGGGAAGGAACTCAAAACTGGATTATAGATGGCAGAACATTGGCATCCTCAAAGAGTGTCCTTTATCCTTAAGATGCAGATGAACTGCTGAGTCTTGTCCTGTGGAGGTGGCTCTTCTGTGTTGTGCCATGCGCTTGTGAAGTGGCTGTTTGGTCTCTCCAATGTAGAGGTCTGAGCATTCCTCGCTGCACTGTACAGCAAACACCACATTGTTAAGTTTGTGTTTTGGCGTTTTGTCTTTCGGGTGAACCAGTTTTTGTCTGAGTGTGTTGCTGGGTCTGAAATACACCGGGATGTCGTGCTTGGAGAAAACTCTCCTGAGTTTCTCTGATACACCGGCTACATAGGGGATGACAATGTTGTTGCGTCTGTCCTTCTTATCCTCCCTCGCTGGTGTCTGGTCTTCTTTTCTGTGCCTCTTTGCTGACTTTAAGAACGCCCATTTAGGATAGCCGTATGTTTTAAGTGCTTCCTTTACATGTGTGTGTTCCTTCTTTTCCCTTCAGGCTTAGAGGGAACATGTTCTGCCCGGTGGTGTAGGGTCCTGATTACTCCAAGTTTGTGTTCCAGAGGGTGATGGGAGTCAAAGAGGAGGTACTGGTCCGTGTGTGTGGGCTTCCGGTAAACTTCGATGTTGAGGTTGCCGTTCTCTTCAATGTGCACAGCACAGTCCAGGAAAGGCAGACAGTTGTCCTTTGTGTCTTCCCTGGTGAACTTGATGTTTTTATCCACAGAGTTAATGTGCGCAGTGAAGGATTCCACTTCTTGTGTCTTGATTTTGACCCAGGTGTCGTCCACATATCTGTACCAGTGGCTGGGTACTCTTCCTTTGAAAGAGCCAAGAGCCTTCCTTTCCACTTCCTCCATGTAAAGGTTGGCTACAATAGGTGACACGGGGGAGTCCATGGCACAGCCATGTTTTTGTCTGTAGAAACCCTCGTTGTATTTGAAGTATGTAGTGGTGAGGCAGAGGTCTAACAGTGTGCAGATCTGATCGGGGTTGAAGTTGGTCCTGTCCTCCAAGGAGCTGTCTTCTTGTAGTTGTTTTCTGACGGTCTCCACGGCCTCCGTGGTGGGTTTGCAAGTGAAGAGAAAGACTACATCAAAGGACACCATGGTTTCATCTGGATCCAGGGTAAGTTTCTGGACCTTGTCGGTGAAGTCGGTGGAGTTCTTGATGTGGTGTGGGGTGTTCCCCACGAGAGGAGCAAGGATGGTAGCAAGGTGTTTAGCAATGTTATAAGTGGCTGAGTTTATGCTACTGACTATGGGTCTGAGTGGGACAGCTTCCTTGTGGATTTTAGGAAGTCCGTAGATGCAGGGTATGGCATCCCCTGGGTAAAGGCGGTGATATGTAAGGCGGTCAATGATTTTGTCCCTTTCGAGAGACCAAACAGCCACTTCATAAGCGCAAGAAGAGCCACCTCCACAGGACAAGACTCAGCTGTCCATCTGCATCTAAAGGTCAAAGGTCACTCTTTCGAGGATGCCAATGTTCACATTTTGGACAGAGAGGACAGATGGTTTGAAAGAGGAGTGAAAGAAGCCATTTATATCCACTGTGAGCGACCATCTTTGAACAGAGGCGGGGTTTACGACACCAACTCTCTGCCATCTATAATCCAGTTTTGAGATCCTCCCCAGACGCCTTAACGCCCACTCACATCCTGGGCCATCTGACCTCAGGAATTCGCATGATAAGGTGGGGCCAGGTTTCACAATGAGCTCACCTGAAACCCTGGCTGATTGTGACCCACACCCAGTTTCACACCTTGGGTCATGTGATTAGAGGATCATCAGGGGGTCCTTTTGTCCCTCTGTGGGGGGAAACTCCCACCGGGTTTATATCTGGGACTCTCCGCCATTTGACCTTAGAACTGAAGAAGCTTCTCGGATGAGAGGTGAAACGTCTTCAAGCAACTTAAAGAAGTCCAGACGCTTTTCTTTCCAAGCTCCTTAGACTACGATGACCTGGATGACTGAGAACCTTCACAGACACACTGCTATGCTGATGACACCCAGCTCTATCTGTCCATGAAGCCAGATAACACACACCAATGAGTTAAATTGCAGGAATGTCTTAAAGACATAAAGACCTGGATGGCCGCTAACTTTCTGCTTCTTAATTCAGATCAAACTGAGGTTATTGGGCTTTATAACCAGTGATGGGTTTAGTGAATGGGTGTTGTGGTAAGACCTGAGGACCGACAGTCAGACTCTGCTGCAGCGTGGCAGTCAGTCGCTCCACCAGTTGGTCCTGGATGCCGCCGCTGTCCTGAAAGCGAAGAAGACGAGGTTTGATGCTCCCGTGTATCATCTGACAGAGATCTTAATGGACTTCTGTCAAACTGACTCTGACCCGAGGTCCAAGCTTTCAGTAGGACAGATTGTTGTAAGGCTTTCTTTGCAGCACAACGACTGCACCTCATACAGAACGCAGAGTCCTCATGGGTATGCAGAAATCTGAAGTCACTGCATCAGCTTGCAGGTCAGCACAGAATGACCTTTAAGTCCATCCTCTGGTTCCCGATACTGTCATACAGCTGTGACCTGCTCAGCTCAGATATTTGAACTGCTCCGAGTGTGTGTGTCTGTGTTTTTTTGTGTAGTTTTGTTTTGTGTGAAGTGTGTAGAGTTGATGTGTGTGATGAAATGCTGTATGAATAAAGTTTGCATCGACAGTTTGAACAGAGACACGACAATGCTGCTCTGTGGCGACTCTTTCATGCTCTGATCGCTCTCACTGATCAAACAACCTCCAACAGGTGAGTACACACTCGTGCTGACCTCACATTACCACCGTACCTACCTGGCAGTGAGAGAGCGCACTCAGAGCCTGTTTGTAGAGCTGAACCGCTTTGTGTTGCTTCCTCTGCACCAGGTAACACTCAGCCAGCACCTCGCACACCTGAGCCTGTGCCAGGTAGTCCCCTACACACACACACACACACACACACACACACACACACACACACACACACACACAGGTGAGCACAGGGGTCTCACCTGTCCGATGTACATAGACAGTACTGATGTTACCTGTGTCTCTGAATCCCTGTAGGGCGAGGATTAAGCTCTCTGCTGCTTCCTCTTCCTCACCGATCCGACTGAAGGCAAACGCAAGGTTACTGAAACAGCGAGCCTGGTCGCCACGGCAACCCTGAGAGCCTGTACACAAACACAGAGCATTGTTATAGCTAAACTGATTTTCCTGTCAGACTCCTGATTAAAGATGTGGCAAGTGTTTGTGAGGGTCAAAGGTGAACTGCTTAAACAGGTGAGCCGCAGGTGTGCGCCTCACCGTACAGTCCAGCGGCCAGCCTGTGGTAGTCCACGGCGGACCTGAACTGGCCCATGGAGTTCAGCGCCGCTCCCAGGTTGTGCAAGACCTTGGGCAGCAGGGGGGGCCACTTAGCCGCGGGGCTCAGAGCCTTCTGGAAACACTGCACTGCCTCCTGGAAAGACCTGAGCCGGCAGTAAGACACGCCCACCGACAGGTACAGCTCACCTGAGTGACAGAGAAGCAGTTACAGTAACTAGTGCGTGCTCTCCTCCTGCCTGGGTGTTTGGTACGCAGGGCCCACGACTGAGAACAGGAAGGCTGCACAGATGGTTATTATCACCGCCTTGGAGGCCATCGCCAGATCCTCCTGTCTCAGGTAAACCAGGGCCATGTGATGCCTCACATCCCGCCCACAAACCCGTTTGACCCGCGGCTCTCTAGTGGGTACCACAGGTCCATCGGGTCCCACACCTCCAGACTCACTTCTTCCCCTGGACCAGGGGTCAGCAACCTTTAACACCCAATGAGCCATCTGGACGCACCTGAGCGGCACCCGCAATCACGCCTCGCCGCCTTTACGTCTGTGCTCTCTCTGCTGTTGTGTTGGTGTGTGTCGGGCTGTGAGCTGCAAAGCTACAGTCGGCTGTGTGCGCACAGCAACCGTGTGTGAAAAGTGGTCAATAAAGAGATGCTGAAAAGCCTGTTCATGGAAACATCGTCGGGTCTGCCGTGATGTTTACAACGGGACTTCTGCTCCTGAACCTCTGCGCACAGCGTCTGCAGATCGGGGCTGTACGAAGTCACTTTCATCTTTATGCAGGACTGTAAGCTGTCGTCTGTGAGGCGTGAGCGTGTTTGTTTTAACATAGTTGGGGAACAGCTGCTGACATGATGTGGATCCGAAGAGCCATAATTGGCCTGGCTGGGGTTGAAAGTCTCCCGTAAATGCACGCCGTTTCGGCAGGTACACCAGCTTCCACAAGTGTGACGCTTATTTTGAGCGATGAAAAAATAGAATATAATTTTATTTTTATATTTCAATATCACAATAATCTTCCAATTTAGAACTACAAGTTAAAAAAGAACTAACATAAATAAATTACACTTCAGCTAAATACTTTAATTTATTTTCCCAAACCACGCGGAGCCGCACTATAAGGACTAAAGAGCCGCAGGTTGCCGACCCCTGCCCTGGACCATTCGGACGGTTAACAAACACCCTCCCCCCACACCCCACCTTGGCCACCCACCAACCTGAACCCTCGTCACTCAGGTCAGTCACACACAGACTCTACTTAGACCAAGTCTCTGCACCACCTCCAAGCATTTTGCAGGTTTTTTCTCTAACGGCTTTCTCTTGTGTCTCCTGTGTGTTATTTATTCCTGCATAGTTGCCTTGGAGCACCACAGCTCGATTGCACAGTGACACTAAAGGCCTATTCTATTCTATTCTATTCCATTCTGAATCAAGCAACCTTCTTTCAGGTGATTACCCAGAGTCCTCGGGTCCGTAATGCTCCCCATCAAACTCAGACACTCTGACAGCACACCGATGATGTCCTCCTGGTTGCACTGATCTGATTGGGTCATGTGACTTCCTGCTTCTGACAGGGCGGTGGCTGCATAGTCCAACATGTTGGCCACTCTGTAACTCTCTGCAGCTCGCAAGTAACCCTGAGCCGCCAGCGCCCAGTCCTGTGACACACAGACAGACACACCTGAGTCACCTGGCTCACCTATTCTGTGTCAAATTCAGGTTTTGGTCCTGACCCGTGTCCTGCTGTAACAGCGGCTCATCTCCACGCAGGCATCCCCCTCGCTGCAGCCGTCTCCTTGTGACCTATACAGCTGGGCAGCTTGCAGGAAGTAGGTGGCGGCCTCCCGGCTCTGCCCCAGTGCATCATGGGCCAGGGCAAGGTTGAACTGGAGGTCAGGGAGGCGGTCGGCCTTGGGACCAGGCTGAGCATGCCGCAGGAAGTCCAGACCTTTCCGAGGTCGTCCTACCTCCACATAGGCAGCCCCGAGGTTAAAGGAACAGGCCCGCAGGACCCGCGAGTCCTGGAGCTGAGAGCATGATATGAAATGTAGTGCCAGGAGTGCCACTAACACTGCTGACACCACATCTGTTCTTGTAACCGCCTCACCTGCTCTGCAGCCTTCAGGGCATCTCTGAAGTACCTCAGCGCCTCCTGTGGGCGTCCCTCCTGCAGCGCTTTGTTCCCAGAAGATGTCAATTCCTCAATGTCTGCTGTCTGCTTCCGCCCCACACTCCCACTCCTCCTCTTCACCTTCACAGCTTCTTTACCTGAAGGGGCTGCACGGCACGCCATGCTGGACCTGAAGGAGGAAGAGTCACCTGGATAAAGACATGCAGATGTGCTAACCTGCTGCCTTCATCAATGAATCAGCTGACTACCGGAGAACCTGCAGGTTCAGGTGTGTGGACCAATCAGTCAGATCCATCCTCAGGATCAGGCGCAGGTCAGTGAGACAAATCAGTAACAGTGATTATCTACGTTATTATTGATCCATGAGGAAAGGTCTGATCAATCAGTAAGAGCTTATACTGAGGTTATTAAAGGGCTGAATCAGCTACAGCAGAGTACATCACTGAATTGCTGCCGATAACAAACACTCACAGCTTGCAGGGGATGATGAAGCTCCTCCTCCTCACTGCTCACCTGTCCCCTGAAACCGAACATTTGAAGCAGCTAGCCCCTCTGCTAAACCGCTCTGACCTGCAGGTTGACTCGTTGCTATGGTAACGCGGAAGTGGTCGGTAAAACCGGCAGCAACAGAAGAAGACTTCGCAAGTAAACTCTTTGCATTATGACGTCACGCCAGGTGAGTTATAAGATGTAAATATTTGCGGGAAGACCGTTTTCGATTCAGCTATTACGACAGTGAACTCCATAGACCACAATCCACCGCAATGAGGTTCTAGCCAATAGGAGGCAAGGCTGACGGCTCGACCAATTAGAGAGCGGCGGGAGCTTTGAAACTCCAGGCAGGAAACAGTCGGAGGACGGTTGGAGCTCCGCTGCGGTTTCTGTGTTTTTAACCGAGACTTTGGGACACATTCGGGCACCGAGAGGACCCGGACCGGGACACCGAGACACCCGCAACGACCCGACACAGACCCGGGAGACCGAGAGGGGGGACAACATGGCGGATTTAGCCGCGAACGGCCACTGTGAGTGTCGGTCAGAGAGTCCGGAATGACCGCAGCGTCAATCAGATTCATATGTAATTAACTCGGTGTCACACTCCGTGATTTTCTGCGTCTGTGGGGTTAATTCAAAGGAGCTGACCTCAGTGCTGCTGCTTGCAGCTGTACCGATCAGCTACAACATTAAAACCACCACAGGTGAGTCACCTGTCACAGGTCAGGTGATCGATGGACACTTGTCCAGGTGGACTCCTTATGATCCGGGTCTCAGTCTAAGATCTAAGGGCGTTTTCCCGCATGCGGTGTTCTGGTTCACCTGCACAGGTGGACACCGCTGGTGTGAAACAACCTGTGGAGGAGGCATTCTCGGTCTGGTTAGTTTACGGCGTGATGATGTCATAGGTTTGGGGGGAAAAAAAAGACCCGTAGCCCCACGTGCTGCAGTTTTTCTGTGTGAAAAAACAAACCAAAGTTTGCAAGACTTTAATGAAATGACGTGTTTACAGTCACTTCAAGACAATAAGAGCAACGCGCCGAACCAGTGAAGCAATGTGCAATAAAGTTTCAATCGTATATCTTTCACCTCTGTAATGTTCTGGATATTTATAACCGAGCGTTTGTGAATATTAGAGCAATTTCTTATGTTTGTAACTTTATAATATGAGAGGACGGTCCCTTGTGGCTCCTCTGTGATTGGGATCAGAGTCAAGCAGCCTTTGTAAGACTCGGAGTTTACGTCAAATATTATTACTGCTTTCTGAGCTCACTGGTTTACCTCCCACCTGACCATGTCAGACTTACCTGAAGAAGATTCCAGGTCAAAGGTCCTCAGCAGCCTGCTGTCATCAGTTTCAATAAAACTTCTTAAAGTGATGAAGATGGTTCCCGGGAACATCAGCCTGCATCTGGATGAAGACGCGTTTGTAACGTGTGAGGAAGCTTCAGCTGCTTCAGACCGATTCAAAGATTGTGGATCAAACTTGCGTCACGTCCTCCATCATCATCAGCCCGAGCTCACCCCAAAGAGCTCCAGACCTCGAAACACGGCAGACCTTCATCACCTACGGGACTGTAAACTGATGATGGCAGGAAGCTGAATATTCCACACTTCCTGTGAGAAGACTATTTTTGAGCTGGAATTTTTTTCAGGTGTGAGGGAAGCATCAGGAGTGCAGCTGGTTTTAATGATGTGACTCAGTGTTTTTGTCTGTAACTTGGTGCTGATCACATTCATTGATAAAGATGATCGATCATCCAGGTAAGGAAAAGTTGCTTCTGTTCATCTGAAGCGTTTTCAGAGGGAGAAACGTTTCACCACCATCATCATCAGGTGATATCTTTAATATTGGTCCCGGAACTGACCCCATGGCCTGTCGTTGGTCAGCTGATGAGGGTGAAACGCTTCTCCCACTTCAGACGAACACAGTCGACCTTTTGTAATCAACAGTTTGATCTGATGTAGTGTTAGAAACGGGCTCAGCGTCATCTAAACAAACTGAGAGCACAATATTGATCTGCGGTTAAAGGAGTGACACGGGTGTGATGTCATGTTTCCTGGCGTGTTGCAGATGAGCGTCTGACCGCCGAGCAGATGGACGAACAGAGGATCCAGAATGTGGCCTATCAGTACCTGTGCAGGCTGGAGGAGGCCAAGAGGTCAGTGACCTGGACCAGGAGCACCTTAAGTGTTTGCTCACTTTTGTTAACAGAGCCAGTTTCTTCTTCAGGTGGATGGAGGCATGTCTGGGGGAGGAGCTTCCTGCTCCCACAGAGCTGGAGGAGGCGCTGAGGAACGGCGTTATTCTCGCCAAACTGGGTCATCGCTTCGCTCCGAGCACTGTTCCTCAGAAGAAGATCTACGACCCGGAGCAGCTGCGATACCAGGTCACGACACACACCAGCTAGAACCAGTCTGATCCGGTCTACCGCTCTTTGGGGGGCGGGGTTATTGATCAACTCGATGATCAGCTCTGTATTGATCCCTGCAGGCTGTCGGTCTTCAGTTCCGCCACACTGACAACATCAACCACTGGAGAAACGCCATGACGGCACTTGGGCTGCCGGCGGTCAGTGAACACATCGACGGATCATAGTATCGATTAGCCGATTGGTTTGAAGCTGGGCTGATCACCTGTTGTTGTTTCCAGATCTTCCATCCTGAAACGACCGACGTGTACGACAAGAAGAACATGCCGAGAGCGGTGTACTGCATCCACGCGCTCAGGTACGCCTCGTTGCTCGTCTGATCACCTATCCTCTGTGCCGCCTCTCACTTGTGCTCACCTGTGCTCACGTCTCTCTGCAGCCTGTACCTGTACAGACTCGGTTTGGCCCCACAGATTCACGACCTGTATGGAAAGGTCAAGTTCACAGGTAAACGCCACATAGGTAACTAATAATTTGGGATTAGTTTGGCTTTAGTGTACTTTCACAGAAGTTGGTGCTGGGAAGGTTTGGAAGGGGCTTTGACACCCGGGGGGTGGGTGCTACAGTACTGGGTGTTGGACCAATCACGGTCAATTTTGCTGACCTGTAACTTTGTTCAGAGGAAGAGATCAACAACATGAAGCTGGAGCTCGACAAATACGGGATCCAGATGCCCGCCTTCAACAAGATCGGAGGAATCCTGGCCAATGAGCTGTCAGTGGACGAGGCTGCAGGTAGGACCAGACTCTGATTGGCTGATAGCGGATGGAGCTACAGGATAGGAACAGACTGATTGGCTGCTGGGGGTACTGACCCTGCATTCTGCCAACAGTCCACGCGGCGGTGGTAGCCATTAATGAGGCTGTGGACCAAGGGGATGTGGGTGTGACGGCGGTGGCTCTGAGGAACCCCGCTGCTCTCCTCACTGACCTGCAGGAGGCGTTGATGAGCGTCTACCAGGAGATTCTGCAACGAGCGAGGAGGAGGAAGGCTGAACGGGCCGCCGGCGGGGTAAGACATTGATTGGTTAAAGAGATTTGTGTCCGTCCAGTCAGGTGAGCAGACTGTTGACGTGTGTGTTCGTGCGTGTGTGTCAGCAGGCTGTGGCAGAGGACAAAGACATGTACGAGGAGTATCTGACTCAGAGGGAGATCCAGGACCACATCAGTGCCGTCAATGGTGAGAAATAAGCCCCTCCCCCTGTTCTGATGGCATTAATGCTGGTATTGATGACCTAACGATTATGTCACTGTGGGCGTCAGTGCGGGCAGCGGTGGAGCAGGTCGACGAGGCTCTGGATGTCGCCAACGAGCTTGCTTTGCTGTCGGCACTCCAGCTGCCGTGTTTGGCCCTCAGGGGCCTCCGTACTGACAATGGGCCCTGGTACCTGGATCAGCTTACCGCAGACCGCCAGCAGAAGGCCCAGGTAAACTAACAAGTGCGGCCCCTGACCTCTTTCTGACCTCAGTGACCTCTGACCTCTCTGTGACCTCTGACCCCAGAATCAGGGCTCTGTGGATCCTCTGGAGCATGAAGAGCTGCAGGAAGGCGTCACCGCTGCCAACCAGGAAGCTCAGAGCACGCGAAACAGTACGCCATTTTCTTCCCACGCCCGAACCAGGCTCACCTTTTGACCTCTGACCTCGCCTCAGTATGTGTGTGTGTTTGTGTGTTTCAGTGGTGGCGGCCCTCCAGAGCGTTAATGCGGCATTGCGTGGAAATGACCCCAGACGCACAGTCAGCTGCCTGATGACCTCTGACCTCCAGCTGCCTGAAGTGTTTCCGTTTGCGGCGACATTTTATCACCGAGAGCTGCAGCTGCTGCAGAGGCAGACGGCACAGGTGCAACACCGGGTTTACCTGGAGATGAGTGACAGCGTCACTCAGGGGTGGATCTAGAAGGGTGGCATCGGGTGGCAAGTGCCACCCTAGTTTTGCATATGACAGTGTTGTTTATTAAAATAAGACAGCATTAACAGTTTGAGCATAGTTACAGTCAACAGTGAATATAAATGCTAAAACTGAATATATTGCATAGTGTCCCCCCTGCACCAGTAACAAATGGTTCAGCCCATAGCAGGACCGGCTTTTTCCTTGTATTCAGTAGCAAGCGATGCTTATGATTGTGCCAGAGCACATTTTAAACAACACCATGGGAATTTCAGATTTCACACAGGTGGGTGGATGTTACACTGTGGAAATGGAAGGAAGGTGAGAGTTATTAACCCTCTGGGGTCCACGCACACGCTGCACCTCCAAATCAAACGACTGATTTAAGATGACACCGCAATAAGCTGCAGCCACGCGGAGTCTTTCAGCCCGTGTTGAAGTTTGGACTTCAAAGTTTTTAATTTTAATTACAGGCCAGTAAATCCAGAGTGATGAAAAAAATATATATGAGCCATATATATTTCTAAATACTGTCGTCACGTTTTTTGTGTTTAAAAACAAAAAATGTTTTCTAAGGACAACACGAAAATGGTAAAGGGGGGGGGAGCCTCTTTCCTATTGGTGGAAAAATGTACCATGTCGACCAATTAATGTCACAAAGGCACATTGCAATGTAAACACTGTCACCAACTAGTGCAGGGCGATATGACCAAAAATATTTATCACGATATACATTTGAAAATCTGCGATAACGATATGACTGACGATATAATTGA